TATTGAATGGTCCAATTGGTCAAGAATTCAGAACTGCCAAAAAGTGACAACCACTGGGTACTGCTTTGATGGTCCACCAAATAGTATTTTTTAATTTAAAAAATGATGGACTTGGGGGTATGGTGCCGCCAGCAGGTCAATCTGTACCTGTGAGGCGAGTGCATCAGCAGCCTAATGGCGCCTTCAGAATTCCAGACACCCCAAAATTGCTGCTGTGTCTTTGGCTAGACCCCAAAACCTTGGAGCAAAGTTTACCAAGAAAGTAAACGGCCAAAAGGTAGGTATGTGGGAAACACACCCACAAACCACCTCCGGCTCAGTTATATAATTGGAGGCATGGCCTGTCTGGTTCCTGATTGAACTACTTAATGGCCATGATCCCAGAAACTCAGAAACAAATCTCGAAACCCAGCGGCTTTTAGCAGAAATGCGTCCAATCCCTGCAGTAGGTTACCGGTGCTGGGCCAACCCAGGTGGGAATAAGTTTCGTGCCTTGGCCTGTTCCCCCCAGTGGCCCAGAGGCCACCATCCTTCAGAGGCCACTGGACAGTCAGGTTTGGGCCCCCAGTGACGAGGCACGTAGTGCCTCACAGGATGGGGGTGGAGCCGGTCCTGTCCTCCCCACCCCAAAGAGACCCCAAGTCATCGCCCATGAACGGCCTCTCTGGCTCCTGATCAAGCTGCTTAACGGCCATGATCCCAGAGACTCAGAAACAAATCTCAGAACCCAGTGGCTTTTGGCAGAAATGCATCCGGACCCCACAGTAGGTTACTGTCGCCAGGCCACCCCAGTGAGGAAAGGGTGCTGTCACTCCGTCTGCTTTCCCTTGGTGGCTCAGTGGCAGTCATCCTCCAGAGGCCATTGGACAGTCAGGTCTGGGCCCGCAGTGACGAAACTTGTTGGGCCTCACAGGATGGGGCTGGAACCAGTCCTGGTCTCCCCGTCCCAACGAGACCCCAAGTCATTGCCCATGAACAGCCTCTCTGGCTCCTGATCAAGCTGCTCAACAGCCATGATCCCAGAGACTCAGGAGGAAATCTCAAAACCCAGTGGCTTTTAGCAGAAATCCCTCCAGATTTAAGTGTTAAAATTTTGGAATTTCAAAACCACATGCCCCTACTGCAGCCACGCAACATCATATGTTATTCATAACCAGCAATAGAACACAAATTGTCTATTGTTGCCTTTTCAGCAGATCTGAGTGTTGGGGTAAAATCTCAAATAATAATGGTGGGTCTGGTGTCAAAATATTGAATATGATCAAAGTAGAGAGAGAGTAATGGGGAAATCATCTGCCCCACAGGTAGGGGGAGGGTGTGGGATGGGGGTATACTGGGGTTTTTGGTGGTGGAGAATGGGCACTGGTGAAGGTACGGGTGTTTCATTGTATGACCAAGACTTAGACCCAAAAGCTTTGTAACTGCTCTCATGGTGATTCAATAAATAAAATTATAAAAAATGAAAAAAAAATTGGCTGACTAGATAGCAGTACTCCTACATAAAAATAAATAAATAAATAAATAAATAATGAATGGCTTCCCATCAGCCGGGCAGGTGCTCTAAAATTTACAAGCTGGATTAAAATGTATATGGGAATGCAAAGGACCTATAATAGTTTAGACAATCTTGAAGGAAAGAACGAACAAAGTGATCCAAACAATACTATGAAAGATGAAGACTGTCTAAGAGCAGGACCACAAAATAAAAATAGACACACATAGGACAACCTGATTTTAAGAGATTCAGTAAGACAAAAAGGATTCAATAAATGGATCCATTAAATATCAGTGAGAAAAAAATTAATCTTCCCCCCTACTTCACACATTTCAAAAAAAAAATTTTAGATGAATAATAAAATACAAAATACAATTAAGTTTCTAACATTTAAGTTTCTAATATAAAACAGGCAAAAATCTCATGGCTTTGGAATAAAGATTTCTTAGAGGAAATATGAAAAGTAAAAATCATTAAAGGAAAAGACTAATAAACTGGACCTCAAAATATAAAATTCTGTTCATCAAAAGACAGTAGGGGTAATACTGCACAGACATCTGGGGCAGAGGGGATGTCTACTCCGGCAGACTCCCTGCTTGGGGCACATGCCATTCTGGGGACTGAGCCCAGGCCTTACGGACGCACACCATGAGCTTTGCCTGCTAGATTCTCTCTCCTCACACAAGCATGCAGGACACACTTGTATCTACACACTGATACGTAAAACTTTTACCTAGCAAAGTATTCGTGATCAAAATATATAAAGAACTCCTACACATCAGTAAGGGAAAGGAAAGTTCTAATTTGAAAAGGAAAAACAATACTCTAAGGTCTCACTTTACAATAAAAGACAGTCATTAAGTGGAATCTGAAAAGATACTGAAAACCATCAGGAAGAAGCAAATTTAAATTTCAGTAAAAGGGCTTGGAAAAACAGTACAGAAGGTAAAGTACTTGCCTTGCATCTGGCTAGCCCTGGTTTGATCCTTGGCACCACATATGCTCCTCAAGGACCACAAAGGGTCACTCCTGAGCACAGAACCAAGAATGGCCCCTATGCAGGTGGGTTGGAACCAAAAACCCAGAATAAACCTCAATGAGAATTATAATTTAGTTACATGTACAAGAATGTTCATAATAAACACTTTCTTCACAAAAGCCGAAGGTAGAAATAAGGGGTGGGATGTGGCTCCGTGGTAGAACACACACTTGGCATGTAGGATACTCTGGGTTCAACTCTGGGAACGCGCACACAAAGAAGAGTCTACAAAGTAGAGAGAACTCAAGGGTACATCCATCGAAAAACTGTGAGTCTGAATGGCACACTAGAAGGTCTATTTAAATAAAATAAATGTTTTAAAAACCTGTCCCTCATACAACCTGAGCTCATCTTGGCCGTGCGGTGGCCTTGTTACAGAACCAAGCCAGACACAGATGACTCCAATTTCTGAAGGTCCAGGAACCGGTAAAAGCTACGTGTGTTCATAGAAGTCAGGATAGCAATCTCCTGGTGTTCGGGAGGAAGGCACTGATGATCGGGGACACGAGGGCGACATGTGGGTGATGGCAACGTCCTAGTTCTTGACCTGAATGGTAATTACTGATGCAGACGCATAGGTAAAGAGTAGCTCCACAGTTAGGATTTGCGCTCATTTTATTTTTTAATAAAAGCGTTAGGATAACCACAACTGGGGGGGGGGGGGGGGGTGGAGGCGCATGGATCTATCTTGCTGTCAACTCTTGATTCAGCGGAGGAAGTAGCCAGGCACAACCAGCTAGGTGTGGAGGCGTCCACCTTCCCTTATCTCCTCAAATCAAAAGCAGCTGGATGCGACCAGATCGGTCCTGCTTCGTGTATCCTCAAGCCTAGGGGGTTACCGGACCCAGGTAAGAGGTGCACGGAAGTGAAGGACTCAAAGGTCCCGCCCCTCCGCTGCTCCGGGTGAAAGAAACAGTAACCAGGCAAGCCACTTTTTGCCCAAGGAACGCTTCCAAATGTAACATTTCCATGTACCATTTCCAGGTGACATTTCCGGGGATCCTCCGGCGGCTCAAGGCCAAAGACGGGGTCTCTCTACCGCAGACAGACGGTCTTACCAAGCGGTGAGTTGCCTCCCAGGTCTCCTGGGAACTCGCTCTAGGCTTTTTGGGTTTTTTTTTGGGGGGGGGGGAGTGTGGATGGGAGCGGGGTGAGAGACAGAGGAGAGAGAAAGAGGGAGGAGTGAGAGGAGAGAGAGGGAGAGAGACAGAGAGAGACAGAGGAAGGCAGAGACACAGGTGACAGTGAGAGACGGAGAGACAGAGAGACAGAAAGACAGACGGAGAGAGACACAGAGAGAGGAAGACAGGGAGAGAGACGGAGAGAGACAGCGGGCGACAGCGAGAGACAGAGAGACACACACACAGAGGGCAACGGTGAGAGACGGAGGAAGACAGAGAGACAGAGACAGAGAGAGGGCGACAGTGAGAGACACGGCGACAGAGATGGAGAGACAGAAAGACAGAGACGGAGAGAGGAAGACAGGGAGAGAGACAGCGAGAGACAGAGAGACAGGGAAAGGAAGACAGAGAGAGAGAGAGACAGAGAAAGAGACACGGGTGACAGTGAGAGATCGAGAGACAGAGAGACATGGCGACAGAGGCGGAGGGACAGAGAGACAGAGACGGAGAGAGACACAGAGAGAGAGAGGAAGACAGGGAGAGAGACGACAGCGAGAGACAGCGAGACCGGGAAAGGAAGACGGAGAGAAAGACAGAGAGAGACACACACAGAGGGCGACGGTGAGAGACAGAGAGACAGAGGAAGGCAGAGAGACAGAGACACAGAGAGGGCGACAGTGAGAGAGAGACAGAGAAAGACAGAGACACGGGTGACAGTGAGAGAGATCGAGAGACAGAGCGACAGAAACGGAGACAGAGACAGAGACGGAGAGAGACACACACCGAGGGCGACGGTGAGAGACAGAGAGAGACAGAGGAAGGCAGAGAGACAGAGACAGAGAGACAGAGAGAGAGAGACAGAGGAAGGCTGAGAGACAGAGAGAGAGACAGAGACAGAGAGAGGGTGACAGTGAGAGAGATCGAGAGACAGAGAGACAGAGAGGGAGAGAGACACGGAGAGAGGAAGACAGGGAGAGAGACGACAGCGAGAGACAGGAGACAGGGAGAGGAAGCCGGCGAGAGAGACAGAGAGAGAGAGAGAGACACGGGTGACAGTGAGAGATGATGGAGAGACAGAGAGAGAGAGAGGGCGACAGTGAGAGAGAGACAGAGAAAGACAGAGACGCGGGTGACAGTGAGAGAGATCGAGAGACAGAGCGACAGAAAGACAGAGACGGAGAGAGACACACACCGAGGGCGACGGAGAGAGACAGAGGACGGCTGAGAGACAGAGACGGAGAGCGAGAGACGCGAGAGCTTCCGGGCCCCCGCACGGAGGGGCCCCTCGAGGCCGGCCCCCGCCCCCGCCCCCGCCCCGCGGCGCCCCGGCCCGGCCCGGCTCCACCTGCTCCAGCACGTCCAGCCGCAGCTCGAGCTTGCTGAGCACCACGTCGCCGCCCCAGAGCGAGAGCTGCAGGTCCGAGGGCCGCAGGTTCCTGATGTAGCGGTGCACGTAGCTCATGAGGAGGGGCGTCACGTACGACTCCAGCATCTCGCCGGCGGGCGGAAGGGCGGGCGCGACCCCCGGCTCCCGCCTCAGGACGGCGCCCCGCGGCCCGGAAGGCGGCCCCGCAGCCCCGCCGCCTCGCTCCCGCGCCCCGCCGCTTCCGGGCGCCGCCCGCGCCCGCCGCGAACGTTCCGCCCCGGACTCGGCCGCCGCCGCCGCCGCCGCGGGCCCGGGCGGGGTCGGGCCCGAGGGAGGAGCCTCTCGGGGCGCCTTCGGGGGCGCGGCGGTCCCCGAGTCCCCGATGGCGCCGGGCGAGAGTGCGGAGGACCGAGCTGCCGGGCGCGCGGCGGGCGGGCGGGCGGCCGGACGGCTTTCGGCGCGGCACCGGGCACCGGAAGTGGCTCTCGGCCCGGGAGCGCGGCGGCCGGCGCGGCTGCGGCTGCAGCAGTCGGACCCGCTGGGTCCCGGTGGCCCAAGTCGCCGCGCAGCGCGGGGCTGACGCCTCCTCTCGGGATCTCAAGAGGAGGGGTGCGGAGGCCGGGCCAGGCGACGCGGGGGGCAGGTGTCGGGGTGCACCCGAGCTGGCGGGGAGGGAGCAGGGGAGCCGCATGCAAGGGGCGCTTGGGGGATGCCCCGGTCGGACCCCACGTGGGGACCAGCCCCCCTGCCTGGTTGAACGTGAGCGAAAGGCTGGGCTAGGTAGGAAGCAGCTGTTGGAGAGGATGAGGCCGGAGGATGGGAAGGAGAAGGGGGGAAAGACGCCTGTCCACGCGATCGACCCGAGTGCGACCCTCAACACCCCCTATTAGCACTCCCGGCTCCCCTCCTCCCCGCCCCAGCACCGGTGGGAGTCACTCCTGGTCACCGCTGGGTGGGACCTAAAAAAAAGACCATGATCATGACCATCCTGTTATTCGAGGGTTGCCTCGAGCAGGCCCCAGTAACGTCTCCTTCGTCCTAGCCCTGAGATTTTTTTTAAAAAGTGCCACATTCAAGGCTCTTTCAGAGTTAGGAGAATGAGACCCTTCATTGTTACTGGTGTTTGGCATATTGGGGACGCCACGGGGAGTTTGCCAGACTCTGCGGTGTGGGTAGGTTACATTCGGTACCCTGCCAGGTTGTCCAAAGTAGAAACCATTCCTAAAAAAAAGAAAGGAAATAAAAATAAAAGATGTCTCGTGACCACCGGAAGAGCAACAGTTACTGGGCTTGACGCGGAGGTTTGAGAGTCAGACATGTGCCAATGGAATGCATGTGCAAAATGCTCCTGTCGGCTGTGCTTTGCATGCTCACTGACACGCCAGCAGCCGGTTTTGGGAAGCCTTCAAACAGGCAGGCAGTTCAAGGTGAGGGTGCAGTGCTGCAAAAGCCCCGTGTGCTGGGATTACCCAGACTTTGCAGGTTGCTCAGGGACCGTGGTAGCACTATAGCTCTGTCCTCCCCATGTTCATCGATTTGCTTGAGCGACCCCAGGAACATCTCCACTTTGAGACTTATTGTTACTGTGTTTGGCATATGGACTACATCATGGGTAGCTTGCAGGCAAGATACCTGAGTAGCTTGAGGGGCTCTCTGAGAGGGGCAGAGAAATTGAACCTGGCTCAGCTGGGCTGGCTGTGTGCAAGGCAAACTCCCTACCTCTGTGCTATCGCTCCAGCTCAGGGGACTGTGGTACTGGAGATCAAACTGAATAGGACCCATGCTAAGCACATGCATTGTCACTGTCACTCTCCTCCCATTGTTCATCCATATGCTCGAGCGGGCACCAGTAACGGCTCCATTGTGAGACTTGTTGTTACTGTTTTTGGCATATCGCATGTGTCATGGGTAGCTTGCCAGGCTTTGCGGTGCAGGCGAGATACTCTCAGTAGCTTGCCAGGCTCCAAGAGGGGCAGAGGAATCGAACTCAGGTTGACCATCTTGGCTGCGTGCAAGGCAGATGCCTTACTCACTGAGCTATCGCTCCAGGCCAGCACATCATGCATTAGCCCCCACATTGTCTCTCAGACCTTTGGGTATTTTATTTGGGGGCTGGGGGGTAGAGAAACATGATATTTAATTTTTTTTTCATTGAATCACCCTGAGATACACAGTTACAAAGTTGTTCATAATTGGGTTTTAGTCATTCAGCATTTCATTACCCTTTCCCTGGTGTACATTTCCCACCACCAATGTCCCCAGTTTCCATCCTGCCCTCTCCCCTCAACTCCACTTTTCTTTCTAATCTCTCACTCGCTCACTCACTCTTAGTTTGTGATTATAGGTACTGGGCTGGAGCAATAGCACAGCAGGTAGGGCGTTCGCCTTACAAGCGGCCAACATGGCCGACCCGAGTTCGATTCCTCCGCCCCTCTCGGAGAGCCCGGCAAGCTACCGAGAGTATCCGATATGCCAGACACAGTAACAACAAAGTCTCCAATGGAGACGTTACTGGGCCCGCTCGAGCAAATCGACGATCAATGGGAGGGCCTTTACCTTTACCTTTTACAGGTACTGAAAAGTTACCATGTTTGTCCCTACTTTCAGCACTCAGTTCTTGTCCAAACTGATCACTTCCGGCTATCTTTGTCAAAGTTGTCCCTTCTCTATCCTGGCTGTCCTCGGACCACCACCACTGTGGCAAGCTTCTGAGCGGAACCTGGAATATCTCTCTCTTTCTCTCTCTCTCTCTCTCTCTCTCTCTCCTTCCTATTTTTTCTTTTATTCTTTCTCTGTTTTGGCCATACCCATTGGCTCAGTGCCCAGGGATCACTCCTGGCAGGCCCTGGGGACTATTTGGGGTGCCAGGGATTAAACCCAGGCCGGCGGTACATAAGGCAAGTGCCCAACCCACTCTACGCACGGTTAGATCTTTTTACTCTCTCCAGTTTTGCCTTTTCCAAGTATACAGTTAAGAGTCACGTCGTACATAGCCTTTTGAAATTGGCTTCTTTCACTTAGTAAAATGCATTTAAAATTTCCTTCATCTCACATGGCTTCATAGCTCTGTTCTTTGGAGTGCTGGAAAATATTCCATTGTATATCAGAGGTTCCTGCACGTATTTCACCTGCAGCCCCCATCATAAACAAAATCACTCTACACCCCCATGGAAATTGATCTTTTCAGGAACAGAAATCACCCCCCCAACTGCATCCAAGGCTGCCACTGTTCCCATAACACACTTGCCCCTCATTCCTGTGCCCTAACCCCCACCCCCAGAGCCGCCCCCTTTGGGAAACTCTATCAAGTTGTATCAAGATTGAATGAGTGAAGTTTGAAGGAGAGGAAGAAACAGAATGATCTCTCCCATGTTGGGAATAAAAAGAAGTAGGAGTAAAACAAATGTCCAAAAGCAACAGAAACAAAGAACTGATCTTCAAAGCTACCACAGAGGAAAATGGAGGGGACTTGAGGGAGAGCCACTGGGACAATGGCGGAGGAAAGTGATCATTCTGCAAGTGGGCATGGGTTATGCATGAAATCCTCCCATCACCAGTATTGTAAACCACAGTGCCAAAAATAAATGTGGGGGATCCACACCCAGTAATACTCAGGGGTTACTCCTGGCTTTACACGCAGGAATTACTCCTGGCAGTGCTCAAGGAACCATATGGGATGCTGGGGATTGAACCTGGTTCAACCACATGTAAGGCAAATGCCTTACACTGTACAGATGCCAAGAATCAAATGTGGATCAGCTACATCCAGTCCCTGGATTTTGCTTTTTACCTTCTCTAGACCTCTCAGCCCAGCAAACTATGGAGAGTATTCCACCTGCAGGGCAGAGCCTGTCAAGCTACTCATTATGTATTCGATACACCAAAAACAGTAACTATAACGGGCTTCATTCCCCTGACCCTGAAGGAGCCTCCAATAGGGCAGTCATTGGGAAGGACAAATAAGGAGAGACTGCTAAAATCTCAGGACTGGAATGAATGGAGACATTACTGGTGCCTGCCCGAGCAAATCAATTAACAACTGGACAACAGTGATATGACAGTGATACAGTGATACCTTCTCTAGACAGGCTTGGAGTTGAGTTTTCCCTCCTGGTTAGAGAAGGCTAGAGGAAAGTAGAATTGTGTGTTTTCTTTCCCCAGAACCTTGGACTCTGCTAAAGTTATTCCTGCTAAGGATAGGCCTGGTGAACAGAATGTTCTAGAACATTCCAAAGTAGCTCCTTTTTCTCACCCCCTGCCAGAAATAAAAGAAGGGAATTTTCTCTAATCTTCACTGTGAGCATCTGGTAACAGGCTGGGAGGTAAGAAACAAACAAACAAACCAAAAAATGGATGCCTCCCAGTGTGTCCACACTAACTCTGATATGTCCACCCTAGGCCTCAATTACAGCTTAGGCTGTAATTCCTTCCTGGAGTAGCTCCCTCAGAGATTTCTCCTCTTGGTTTTCTGCTGTGATGTGTGAAAAGATTCATCTGCCTCTCAAGCCTCTGGGAACAGAGTTTTGTTCTGGGACTTCTCTTCTTGGATGGACCCAATTGCTGATGATGCTTGAAATTCTTTTACTTGTTAAGATAGAGCAGCAGCTCCAGCCACTGGCATGCTGGCACAGAAACAAGATGTCCCTGGTGCACTTTTTAAATATTTGGGTGGTAGCACTATAGCACTGTCCTCCCGTTGTTCATTGATATGCTCGAGCGGGCACCAGTAATGTCTCTATTGTGAGACTTGTTGCTACTGTTTTTGGCATATCAAATATGCCACGGGGAGCTTGCCAGGCTCTGCTGTGCAGGCAGGATACTCTCGGTAGCTTGTCAAGCTCTCTGAGAGGGGCGGAGGAATCGAACCCATGTCGGCCACATGTAAGGCAAATGCCACTACCCACTGTGCTATCTCGAAGGGTGAAGAAAGACTCCTTTCATTATTAGTATTTCTATTCCCCTTTGTGTCTGCAGAAGAGCTCTGAGCACAAAATAGGTCCTGCCAAAGACAGACTTGAGCAGTTCCCTGATGAACGTACATTTCCTTCTCCTCTGTGCCGCACCTGGTGATAACTCAGCAGGTGTTGTCAGCAACTGAGTTCTAACCTTCTGGGTGTGGCAAGACATGATGT